TAAAGAAAACAATAATCCTCACAAATGGACCTATAAGCAATGTCATGATAAAACAGAGAAAAGACTGAAGTTGACAAGGATTTCATTTTACTTGTATCCACAATTAATGCCCATGGAAGCAGCAGTCAAGAAATCAAACAACATATTTTATTTGGCAAATTTGCTGCAAAACACCTCTTTAAATTGTTAAAAAGCAAAGATGTCACTTTGAGGAATAAGGTGCACCTGACCCAAGCCATGGTATTTTCAAATGCCTTACATGAACGTGAAAGCTGGACAATGAATAAGGAAGACTAAGGAAGAATTGATGGAATTGAATTATGGTGTTGGTAAAGAATATTGAATGTCCGATGGACTGTAAGTAGAACAAACAAATATGTGTTGGAACAAGTACAGCCAGAATTCTCCTTGGACGTGAGGACCCCCAGACTTCATCTCAAGCACTTTGGACACATTTCCGGAGGGACTAGTTCCTGGAGAAGGCCATCGTCGTTGATAAAGAGTCAGTGAAAAAGAGAAAGACTCTCAACAAGATGAGTTGACACCATAGCTGGAACAATGGGCTCAAACATAGCAATGATTTTGACCATGTGCAGGGCTCGGCAGTGTTTCATTCTGTCATACATAGGGTCGCTATGAGTTGGGTCTGACTCAACTACACCTGACTAACTACAACAAAATTGAAAAATTAGAACCTAAAAGGTCAGTGAGAATGGTCTTATACTGGGCCTTCAACTTTGAAATTTCTTCTAGAACCTTCTCTTGTCCCTTATATCAGTGCTGTGAGGATCCCCAGGACATTAGCCCAGAACTTGGTGTTCAGTTTTCCCTTCATAATCTATACACCCTGCAGTGTTTAGCCTGTCAGATATAGTAAAATGCAGAGAATCTCAGCTCCACTGCGGCAGAAAACATCTTTACTAGAGAAGTTAATCCTTTAAAGCAATAATAACAGACAGAGAGGGCTCATTAATTTTAATAGTTGCACACAGCTTTAATGGTTCTTCCTGAGAATTGTCTCCCAGGAGCCCCACCACCACCATTAATTATACACAACATCAAATATTCAAATTTCATAAGCACAATATTGCAAAAGCAGGAGAAATAAGAAAAGCCTTCATAGCCTTGAGATTAAAAACAATGCTTCATCTTTCTCTCAGTACCAGTTACTACTAAATGCTAAAATGCAAAAGCTGGGCTGGCAGCTGATAGCTAGGGGCTGGGGATAACAAAGAAGGAAGTTCTTACAATGACAAGCACTTTTACACTAATTTTTCTTCTCACAACCAGGGCAACACAGGGCAGATATCTAATTTTTTTTTAACTGTGTTGATGTCAAAGTAGAAAACCGTGGAGAGACATTTTCACAGCAACAGATAGAACTGGTTGCACTTAGGCCACATGGGTTAGAAAAGGCCAAGATTCTCAGAGTCCTCTTCCTTGAGGTTTCCCTTCTTGCTCACACTTCAGTGTAAAGAACTGAAACTATGATCACAGAGCCTGGCTCATAATAATAGGACAATAAATATTTGCTGAATGGAAGAACTGACTGATACCTGGTGTGTAGTGGGATGGAATGGACCTAGGTTTCTCTAAGTGGAGCCCTTGCCAGGATATTTGAGAGAGAAGACATTCCCACGGCTGGCATTCCCACGGCTGGAGACCTTCACTGCCAGAGGGATCCTGGTAGGCCAGAGGTATAGTAGCACCACAAGGGAGTTCTTACTAGGTCATCCAAATCCACTGGCTGTGCCCTCTCAGCATCAAAATTTGTGAATAGAATTTAAAAGATTAAATCCCATATGCAATTAAAATAAAATGAATATGTAAATTGCTTTTTCTCTTTCCTTCCCTTCCTCTTTTCCCCTTTGCTTTCTTTCAAACCTGACTTTGCCCTCCCCCCCCTTCTTTGCCTGCTTTATTACCAAGTTTCATAGTTTTAAGTATCCATGACCGCAAAGAGTGAAGTAAATGAGTAAATGAAGTTCTTTCTAGTTCCCAGAAATGAGGTAGCTCTAAGGGCTAAAAAAAAAAAAAAAAAACTACTTCTGGCCACACTAACTGATTTAGAGACTACCTCTTGAAATCATGGCTATCCAGACATCTTTTTAGGTGTGAATTCAATGCCTACACAGTAAGCTGGGATTTTAGTTTCTAGAATGTCAATTTCAAGATGATCATGATCATGATAACATATCTTGAACTAGGCATGTAAGGTCTATTTTGTGTGTGAGTATTTAAGTAGGACAGAGCTGGGCACTATTTGACACAGATGAGCATATCAGATCACATTTGTCACAATCTTAATTTCAGATTCATAATTGCTGGCTGGAGGAGACCTTTGCAGGCAATAAATAAGTCTGCAAGTCTTTCATAGCACAGGGAGTGGAGCTAGCAGAGCCAGCCAGAGTTATGGCAGAAGATCAATTCCCTGCCTCCTTCCCCCTTTCCTCCATGCTTCAAGTGAAGATGTGAGAGAGCCTCCAGAACATCCTAGTGGTTAAGAGTTTTAGCCTCTTCTTCACCCTCAGCAAACAGGTTCCAATCTTAGGTAGTTATTTCCTTATATAATTCTGTTTCAGTTTTGATATTAAATCTACCTGGACATTGTGTGCTTCTAAATGCCTTTTCATTCATTCAACAAACTTTCATTGAGTACCCACTATCTGCTAAGCACCATGCTACAATAAATTCTGTGCATTACTTTAACTTCAATTCAGCCTTGTATTCTTTTTTCAGGAAGAATCTCTGAACGAGTTAGGCTGCTGTATTGGTAACCAGGAGCATGCTCAAATGTCAATCTTGTCTCTATTTATGTACTGAGTCATTCTTGGCATATGTTGTTGTTGTTATGTGCCGTCGAGTCAGACCTGACTCATAGCGACCCCTCCTTGGGTTTCCGAGGCAGTATCACTAC